GCTGGATGGGTTGGTCAGAGGGTTGGTCAGCAGAGTGTGGATACTCCTTGTTACGTTCACACCTCTCTGAAGGGAGTTGTCTGCAACAGCAAAAGCTTCTTAAAATAGGTCAAAGATGGTTTGTGTGGATGAAGCGGTCACAGATACCCAGACTTGCAGACCTCGTAAACTGGCTGTCAGGACTGATTAGGTGATTTGGAATATCGGTGTGTGGTAGCAAGGGGAAAATCTGTCAGACGTGGGCTTGAATGACACACAGCCTTGGAGGCCGCCTCTCTGCAGGGTGTGGATATCAATTGTGCTGAGGGATGGCCATTGCCTGTGTACATGATGGCATCGTTATGTGAAGCAGGGGAATTTCATTTCCAAGAACAGAATGCAGCCAACCTGGTTTGTGTTCGGGCTGTACACCAAGGTTCACCTTTTCACAGAACAGCCTTCAGATAACTGGAACAGAAGAAAATCCCACAAGCACAGCTCTGTCAGACACTGATGGCAAAAGCAGAGAAGGGAAAACCTAACAGTCCCGCCTGCCCCTGTAACTCGTGCCCTGGTGTTAATCGTTTGGGAACTGTGCTGAACGCATCTTCAGGCTTTTTAAAAATTTATTCAAAGTACACTACAAAACTTTGTGTCCTGAGAAATCAGCTCAGCTGATGCTGTTGTGGCAGCGCAGCATGGCTGGGAAGGAAGAGTATCTATCACAGGAGCTCTCTTCCAGGCCTTTACAGGGAGTGCAGTAGTCCTGGGCAGACCCCTAGGTACTTACTGGGATTAAAAAAAAGGCTCTCATTCTTGCATTTGTTACACCAAAGCAGAGGCAACCTGGGTTTGGAAGTAGCGCCGTAGACTTCAGTGTGCCCTGCCCTTTCAAATGGATATCAAAGCGAGCTCACCAGCGTCTTGGTGCTCCTTGCTCTTCCAAAGTTCATCTTTGTTCTTCAGAGCTAGAGGACTTCTGAATGTGAAGTACTGCTGTTAATTCCCGAGGTCTGTCTTGTGCACCAGTGTCTCCTTAGGGCTGTTCTTAAATGTCCGATTTGCCAAGGGCTTTCTCCTTGATGAGGAAAGATGCTGCTGGCATCTTTGAGAAGGAAAATCGGAGAGGAAAAGCAGTTAAAGCTGCGTTTTACAAATGCAGACCATGACTTCTCTGCTAGGATTTCTGATGATGAGAGGAGCCAGGGCTCTTGTCACGCACATGAGAAACGGGAGCGCACATAAGCTTTCAAACTCTTCTGTTTTTATCTTAATGCAGGAGAATACCTTCTGTGATTATGTTGTAACCAACTTTGAGGACTCAAAGCATGTTGTAGATTCAGATTGATGTTACTGCATCTCTGTGACAATCCATTTAAATCTCCCAGGAAATAGTGGGCTTTTTTTTTTTTCCTGTCTTTATTCAGGAAAATTAAGTGTGCAAAACCAAAAAATATCGAACATGACAGGTTTAATTTTTTAATGCACAGAAGCCAGGAAACATAAAGCTGTGGCTTTTGGGAACCGCGTGTTGGCTCTTCTGGGAGTGTGCGCAGGGCTTTGCCGGCTGCTAAGAGCACTGCCGTGGAGGTGACCCGCAGCTCTCCTTGCTGCTAGTGGGATTGGAGGGAATTAGCCTCGAGCACAGGTGAGCACTGACTCATAATATCCCAGAGCAAACCTTGGTGTGCTCAGAGACTGCTGCAAACTTCTTTTTAGTTTAGTCTTGTGTCTAGGTGTTGTATCAATCCATAGCTTGTGCCTGAAGAGATTTTATCTCTGTGTTTACATGCAAGACTTCCCCCCCTGCCCTTTTAGCAGTGGGATATGGATTCCGTCATTTGCCATGTGTAAATTTAGCTTTTCTCACAAACCTGTCTGAAAAAGATGGCCTGTGAAAGCCTGAACCCTTCCTTTCCAAGCCAACAGAGACTTCCTGGGCCTGAATTATCATTAGTGTTGGGAAACTTGTTAACTGTGTGGATGACAGCTTGAGTTGAAACAAACTGCAACCATCTGCTGCGACAGTCATGCTTTGCACCGCGCCACTGAATGTGTGTTATGTGTCCTTTACTGCTGTGTGCAGGTGAAGAAGCAGATTTTGGATGAGAAGATCTACTGTCCTCCTGAAGCTTCTGTCCTGCTGGCCTCTTACGCCGTCCAAGCCAAGGTAGGCACAAGGGGATTCTCCAGGGGCCTGCTGATGTCAGTGGTGGGTTAACATTGCTCCTGGGAAGGGAAAGGCAGGAAGAGTTACTAAAATTTGGAAAGTGAGAGGACTATACTAGCAATATTGCCTTCTCCGCGCTGCTGGTTTCTGGCTGCCTTCAGATATTGGACGGATTTGTGCTTTCTCTTTCCAGGACTCTTTAGCAAGCGCTCAGCATATGAGCTGCAGCGCCTGCTCAAGTGTGGCTTACTACTGGAGCAGGTGAATTCCCTGAGCCTGTGCTTTTTTGGATCTCCTCCCTGCGCTTGCAGTTGTAGCCAGAGGCAAACCAGCCGTGGGACTCACAGCTCTGCTGCTGCGCCAGGATACTTGTCATCAGAATAACTACTTTATTTTGAGTGCTACAGCTTGCCTTGTAGATACTATTGCAGTGTTAAAGGGCGCTTCTTGATGTCTCCCTTTATGCTTTTATTGGGTGTTTGTCCTCTCTAGAGAGAAGAAGAACTCAATGACCATTAAGTTCCTCTCATTCTTTGGCTGAATTCTGCTCTAGAGCCAGAGTCAGTGTGTTTTGCTGAGGGCTTATTTAAGAGGACACTGTTTTCCAATGTAGAGCATGCAGCCTTGGACAGCTTGCAGCAGAGGAACTCCTGGGATAGGGGGAGCAGCCCAAGCTTCAGAAGTGGGAACGTTCTTGCAGGAGGGAAAGTAATTTATTCCTGTACGTGGACAACATGTACTGCTGTTCGCCTAACGAGCCTTCTAGCTAGCTCTCAGCTTTTGTCTGTAAAGGTAATGTCTTTGGAAGAGGGGTGACTGGAGTCTGATTGTGGCCCAGCTACGTTATTGCTGTAGCCTCATGGTTGTAGTTGGTTCTGACTCTCTGGATACAATTTAGGGAGGAGTTTTGGCTCGCAGGACCATAGGCCGGTGGCTGTGGCTGTGCCCTGGGTCCGGTCTGCCTGTCCTTGAGGAGCACGTGGAGTGGTTCAGGAGAAGCAGGGTAGCTCCCTGGGCGGTGAGACCGCCTTATCTTACAGCGCAGGAGCAGGGACTTGGCTCTCTTGCCTGAAGAGAGGGCCCGATCCAGGCTGGCTGGAAACACCGTCCAGTCCTCAGTGTTTCACCCTGGCTTTTTCAGGGCTGCTGTATAATCTTCCTCATAACCAGTTCGTCCATGCCCGGTTTGTCTGAATACAGCCCTGGGCGACGTGCAGCGCTGTGCTTTGATGATGAATGTTTGAATTTACTAGAAAAAGTTATTTTCTTCTCATAGTCAGAGTATTGATGGAACCGTATTTTGTTTGAGAGACTCATCAGCCAGGGCAAGACAAGTTGCTTTTAGAAATGTTTCTATTTGTGTGAAACATTCATCACTCTTATTAGAGTGCATGAGTAAACACTTACTTGGCTTTTTCTCCGTTGACCTGCTGAGCTGAGGATACATAGGGGATGACTTTTCCTGTTGCCAGAATGAATAAACCGTTGGGTAAATATTGAATGCTGTTAACTCTTGGCCATGACAGCTTCTGCTCGCGCCATCAGGGGCAGGCTGTAATTTGGTACAGGACTGTGGTGCTGTCCCCTTTCTCCTCTTGCAGCGCGGCTGCTGACCTTGCGCTCGATAGCACGCTCGACATGCTCGACGCTCGGTCGTCTGGAGGAGGGCAGCCAGC